CATATACATATAGTAAATACCGAATTTATTTTATTATCACTTGTGCGCAAGCTGACTGCAAGTAAGCTATAGATTTACACCTACAAATACTGTAAAAGTATTAAATTTCAAAGATTTTACTATTTTTTTGCATATTCTCTTGCTTTAAAATAAAGTTTTTAGACATTGACATAGATTTTACGCAAAGAAATCAATGATACTACAATCGTTCACAAAGCTGGTTAGCCTTCGAGTTTAACTTTGTGCAAATTGTGGGGGGAAAATATGTACAAAATGCAACATTTTCAGTGATTTTTTCAAAATCGCCGACTGTTCTTGCCTAATTTCATTGTTTAAATTTATTTACATTTTTAAATATTGTTGCATCGTGCATGTTTCAAGTTACAACAAGCGAATTAAATACTCCCCACATCAGGGTGAAGGTGGAGTGGTGGTGGTGAATTGAATTCGAAGCGACAATGACTGTGCACGCTAACAATGCAAAGGCTCATGGCTTGTTGATAAACAATGACTGTCCATTGCATGCACAAGTGACGACTCCCCCGTTTTAACATAATAAAGCCACAAACAATAACTAGTGTTACATTTTATTCTGAACAGAAATCTTATCGCAAATTGTACAACATGTATTTCTCAAAAAAGTTTGCATATATTTATCAACAAGCATACTCTGCTTTTTTTTTTAATAATTCAAGCATAAAGTAATAGAAGTGGAACTAAAGTTTACACCAATGTACTATCAACAAATGCTGTCGTTAATAATACCATGAACCAACGAGTAGAAAAGTAAATACAAGACTGGTTCAATGAATTCAGTGTGATAACAGTATTTGTTCTATTAGAAGCATTGGTGTGTCTGTAGGCAAAATAAGTAGCATTTTATTATTCCAGCGCTTTTAATAGTTCCACCAGACATCAATACTTTCCAAGCATTGAGTGTCATGTCTAACAAGGTGTAGGCAATGAAATCACTAGTTGCAACCATATAGCGACTCCGAGTGATATCCGCATATCGGCCGTGAAGAGCACACATGTTAATTAAACACTGGGTTTTGATTTATAATAAATAAATCCAAATAAACACAATATTGTAAAATTCAGGAATTTATACAACCAGCGAATATGCTTAAAATATCCCAAAACTTGATTCTAAAAGAAAGCTGTTGACACAGTGTTGACACAAATTGTCAAGGGTTCTATGAAATTATCGCTATATAAACAAAAGTGGAAATATGTGTTTTGATGTGCAGTACAATAGGTGATTTTCCGTACAATTGCGAGATGCATGAAAGACGCACGTCGGACGTCTGCCGCAAAAATGAAATGATTTTATTTTGAACTTTATTTCGTAGCTCAAATTGACCGACCGATCTTCGACGGAGGAATATTGCTTTTGAATACCCTCACTTAATCGAAATCGTCTATCATCAAATGTGTACAGCACATTATTAAGCACGGAAATGTCCCCCAAAATACTTTCGAGTTTGTTCATATCCCACGCGATGTTTGACGCCACTATGACCTTTGTTTGACCTGTTTTTATTTTCGACTTCACGAATAACGCGCGATTCTCGCAGTGAACGGAAAATGGTCTATTGGATAACACATTCATCAGATTAATATAAATTAATCAAAGACAATAATCTCCTGTCTGCATGCAGGACATGTTATTCCACAGCTGTGTGCATGTATGTGCGATAGGGAGCTGGGTACATCACCACCTTAAATAATTACCAAAAACATCGTTGAGCGAAAATTACCTTTTTTTTATGAGCTGACAAATTTTCTCCACTTTCAATTGATGTAAATTTATTTTGAAACAAATTCTTCATTTTATTTTGCATAAAAAAAAAAAAATGGCAGAGATTTGAAATATAGCTTATCAGAAACAAGGGGAGTTCAATAAATGTCTCTGAAAATATTATTACAGCAAACTACAAAAAATGAGCAAAAACAAAAACTACTTTGTAATACAAAATGCATTTCCACTTTCACATACAACACACTGATTACTGTAAAGTGATTCAATGTTGCGCAAGACACATTTTTGTGAATCAGTGAAAAATGGAAAAACTTTGGAGAAGCGAGTTTCCCTTAGGCCTTGGCAACACAAATTTCTCGTCAGTGACTTTTGCAAAATTTTTTCTTTACGAATTCGATAAAATCCTTTAATAGTGAACATTCCTAACAGTGAAAATTAAACATTTTACAGTGTATAATAACTATTCCGTCAATGTTTTAGTGCATGTTGGTGAGGAAAATTTAAACGGGTATCAGTTCATAATTTTTTTCAGATTTTATTTTTAAACCAATGAGCCAAAATCATCTTATTGTATCAAATGAGTAAGCGACCGATACGTCATACAATTATAACAGCATGCAAATATTTATGATATTCACAGCGTAATCTTTCCTGACATTCCCACCCCCTCACCGACCAACCCTTGTGAAAATAAACCACTCCTATTTAGACTTCCGTTTCATCACAATCTGAACACCTGAAATGCATCACTCGACTTAATAAAATAAAAATGTACAAACTATTCAGCAAAACATCCCTGAATACAAAAAGTAAAAAATTCCTGCCCCCTCCCCCTTAACCTCTTGCTACAGCAATATTACCAACGGAAACAGTAAATAAAACAACACAGTTTCAATTCTATACATAGATTGGATGCCAAAGGCAATCAGGGAAGAGAATCAGTGAGCTGCGTGCGTGTACATAGAATGAATAAACAAAATAGTATTTATGACACTCAGGATTAAATCATTATTAAATGATCGTGTGAAATCCACCAAAATAAGCATTTTATTTTAAATATCATTCTGTCCTATTGCCTAAACCAAGGTTAAATTAGCATTACCGGTATTAGCAACTGGTACTTTAATTAAACTAGGCATATATTATTTAGTAGAAACTGGTACCTAAACTAGCATTATTAGCAACTAGTATCTACCGGTAATTACTGATGCAGTGACGTTAATGATTGTCATTAAGTTTCCATAGCAACTAGTGTCAAATCGCTAATGCAATGGAGTCAACGATTGTCATTGAGTTTACAGAATGATGATGTCATCAATCAACATTATTGTAAGTAAAAGTGTGTGTCTGTTTGTCTGTCATCCGTCTGTCTGTCTGTTTTCCAAAATTGAAATGTAAACATTTGTGACCTGCAATGCACTTTACTCCCTGAATGCTGGAGGTAATTACTCCTCCGTAACACATGTATAGATGGATTTGTCGCCAACTTTGAAACTATGTTTTTATAGACCTGTTTTCTGTTATATTGCTGGATTTAATTAATCTATTCATAGGTTAATCTTTTCTTGACCGCCGCTTTCTTGTAGATCTGGAAAAAACAAAACAGAATATACAATGAAGAAAAAAAAAAAAAAAAAGATTGCTAACTGTGTACACATGAAACCTGACATTACATTGTCATGTTGGGTTCAAGTCATACAGGATTAATTTCAATCATTACACGCAATTTGCATCACCAGTATATGGTGTTATTAAATACATATAGGCTGCCCATAGACCCCCAACCCACTCCAACCCTGTCACACACAGTATGTTCCTGAGAAAATGCATACAATACCGGTCACTAGCAACCAGCGTGGGCAGATCCCTGCTTAACATATTCCTAGCTAAGCTTTCCATTGCAATGTATTAGAATCATTCACTGTTACCTTGGTGATGGTTCTTCAGGTTCTTCTACTACTTCATCTGCCTCCTCCTCTTTCACTTCTTCTTCTTCCTCTTCTTCTTCCCCTTCTTCTTTATCATCATTATCACTTGCCTCATTGTTACCAGCATTTTCTTTTTCTTCTTCTTCATCATCATCATCACCATCTTCTTTTTCCTCCTGGAGGGAATAAAAACAAGGTTTGTTGAAGATGCACGAAATGAGAAATTAATATCAGATAACTTCCTACTAAACTTTCTTCAGAACTTCGAAGTAACTTCACATCTTCAAAGTATATACATTAACTGTAAGGATCAACTGTCAAAAGATAAATAATTGTTACTATCTGTTGCAGCACAAAGTGTTACCACAAACCCGTGTTGCAGCACAAAGTGTTACCACTAACCTGTGTTGCTTCTAAATCAGATTTACTTGCTTTCTTACTGGCCTTTTCTTCTTCTTCTTCTTCTTCCTGTGGTTCATCATCTGGGGATGGAGCATCGGTTTTCTTAGGATGCTTCTTCTGAAAATTTAAACCAAACCACATCAATGATGGACAACAGATACATCAAAGGAGTGACCATAGAATGTTTTGCCTTCCACCGTCACATTAGAAACTTGTGTGCTCTGATGTTAAAACGTTTTGTCTGCGTATGGGGGGTTGATTTTGTCTTGTAAACGGTTGATAGCTCATCAGAATGCTGGGAACCAGAGAAACCAGCGAAATAAATCGCACAAGCTAGAAATCACACCTATTCTCATACAGAAATTAACTGATGGCACCATAACTAGAAACTCGCCTACTAAACGCATTCACGGTGCCCTACTACAAACACAAGGCTCAAACATTCATAGGTGAAATCCTTTTTATTTGTTTAGTGAGAAGACACACCCACATAATCAATCATACACAACGTATCTCAACTTTAAACAGGCAAAACAAAAAATGGAATCACAACTTAAAAAATCTTAGACAAAATTGTTGAAATAAATAATAATAAACTGATGCTGAAATTGTCATGGCATTTATATGCGAGAATGACAGTGTAGCAGAGGTCACGTACCTTTGGTATACAAAAGCTGAGAAACATGGCCACTGGTATTAGTACAATTAAAGCATAGACAGCCCACAGCCATGGCCGACCTTCAGTTGCATTGTAGAGTCCGCCAACAACGCTCTCCTGCAAAATAAAACAGAGTTAGGCTCGAACATGTACGTTTCTGGTCCTAAGGTGTGATGCGTATACCTTTCAAACTGATGCATCCACTTAACAGCAGGGTTCTCCTCAGGGCTTTTTAGCGCCGAGGTCCGCGGCGCTATACCTGTGAATCTCGGCGCTTCACTTGGGACCTCGGCGCTATGTGTTCCCACCTCGGCGCTTGATTTCATATTTGACATGCCAATATCAGATGTGAAAAAGCTTTGTTCGCCACGCCGGTCGGCCCCG